TGTAAAAAGTACCGAATTTTGTTACATTTTTTACATTATGTACATGCAAATATTTATTTATATTGTCTTGTGCAAAATAACACATTTCAGAGTTTATTCATTTCGATGCTTCTGTTATTATATGATTTTTTTTTCATCTGCATTTAAATATACATCTTAATGTAAACTAAAAGAGCTCTTACATATGTTTGATATGTGAGAAAAAGAAATAAAATTTAATATTTATGTAGGTTCATCATTTTTATGCCCCCACAATGTGGGAGCATATAGCGTTGCACTTGTCCGTCCGTCCGTACGTCCCGATATCTTGTGAACACAACTCCTCTTAAACCGCATGGCAGATTTTGCTTAAACTTACAACGATGAACAACCTTAATGTGTAGATGGTAGTAAATGAAGGAATTTTCGCTGCCACCAAATTTAACAGAATTATGGCCCTTTGTTGATTTTTTCACTAGATACTTATGATGTAGAAATTTTGTGAACGCAACTCCTCTAAAACCGCATTGGCAGATTTTGCTTAAAATTACAGGGATGAAAACAACCTTAATGTGTAGATGGTAGCCTATGTTTAAAGGAAGGAATTTTTGCTGCGACCAAATTTAACAGAATTATGGCCCTTTGTTGATTTTTTCACTATAAACTATGTAGAAATTTTGTGAACGCAACTACTTCAAACTTCATATAAATGTTTCTTAATCACTTAAGATTCCTTATGCCCCTTTTGAACTTAGACTTTTTTTGAGAAAATTGGTAATTTTTTACTCCAACTTCTTCAATCATGATAGGATTTTAAAAATGTTATATTTGATAACAGGGATGTTTAAAAAATAACTTTAGAGTGACCCACACCCTTAGTCTTCATATTTAGCATGGAGGTTAGTCATGATTAAGATTCCTTTGACCCACAGTCTTCATATTTAGCATGGAGGTTAGTCATGAGAAGATGACCCCTATTGATTTTGAGGTCACCAGGTCAAAGGTCAAGGTCACAGGGGCCTTGCCTTCAAAAAGCTTGTCCGCCCAATAACTTAAGAATCCATTGACCCACAGTCTTCATATTTGGCATGGAGGCAAGTCATGATTAGTAAATGACCCCTATTAACTTTGAGGTCACTAGGTCAAAGGTCAAGGTCACAGGGGCCTTGACTTCAAAAAGCTTGTCCGCCCAATAACTTAAGATTCCTTTGACCCACCGTCTTCATATTTGGCATGGAGGCTAGTCATGGTAAGTAGATGACCTCTATTGACTTTGAGGTCACCAGGTCAAAGGTCAAGGTCACAGGGGCCTTGACTTCAAAAAGCTTGTCCGCCCAATAACTTAAGATTCCTTTGACCCACAATCTTCATATTTGGCATGGAGGTTAGTCATGATTAGTAGATGACCCTTATTTACTTTGCGGTCACCAGGTCAAAGGTCAAGGTCACAGGGGCCTTGACTTCAAAAAGCTTGTCTGCCCTATAACTTGAGAATACATTGACCAACAGTCTTCATATTTGGCATGGAGGTTAGTCATGATTAGTAGATGACCCCTAATGATTTTGAGGTCACCAGGTCAAAGGTCAAGGTCACAGGGACTTTGACTTCAAAAAGTTTGTCTGCCCAATAACTTTAGATTCCTTTGACCCACAGTCTTCATATTTGGCATGGATGTTGATCATGATTAGTAGATGACCTCTTTTGATTTTGATGTCACTGGATCAAAGGTCAAGGTCATAGCGACTTTGACTTCAAAAAGTTTGTCCACCCATTATTTTATGATTCCTTTGACACACAGTCTTCATATTTGGCATGGATGTTGATCATGACTATAAGGTGACCCCTATTGATTTTGAGGTCACTGGGTCAAAGGTCAAGGTCACAGGGACCGACCTTGACAAAAAAAAAGCTTTTCTTCTCAATTGCTAAAGAAAGTCCTGTCCGCAATGTATTGATTTTGACATTTGAAGCATGTAGAATACATAACATGGCAATGCACTGGCTTAGAAACCTCAGATTTGGCAGGGAGGTTGTCCTTGAGCTCTAAATGGCCACTGTTGATTCTGACAAAGTGGTATGCGGGGGTATTCACGCCATGATAGTGGCAGTTCTAGTTAGTTCTTATTACCACTGTTAGAACCAATGAGATTACATAGATATTTTTAAATCATATAATAGTGAACAATATTCTCTGAAAAACTTTTGGACTTGTCTGAAACTTCATTCAAAGTGCAAGACTATCTTTGCAATAAACAGCTTCACAAACAGTCCCAGAATATATTTGAACTGAAAATATATTTTACAAATTGTGCATTACATATAAATTGCACATTTTTTTAAAATTATATGGGTAACACACTTGAGACACCCCCATGTAGCAACAATACATAGAAGAGATGTTATGTCTCAAGGCCAAGTCCCAAAGGCCACCTTCATTAACATAAGTGTGACACATAACTATACTTTCTTTTACATTGTTTATTCATCAAAGTCACCCTTAGCTCCACCTGCATTAACATTTTTCAATATCTCAGAGGCACACATAGCTCCATTTTCATTCACATTACTTAATATGTCAGTGTCACACATAGCACCAGCGATAATTACACAACTCAGTTTCTTGGACTCACACATAGCTCCAAGTTCATTTGCAATGCCAAATATTATCAAAGTCACAATCTCTTGTAATTTTGTCTATAACCTTTCCTACCTTATCTTACCCAGATTTCTGATTATCATCAAAAATCGCTTTTAACCATTCTAAATATCTCACTTTCACCTGTAGTCTCACTTTCAAGAACATCACCTGATATTGTATTGTCATCTAAAGTCGTGGTCTCATTTACTCCTGGCAGAGCCCAGGACCACCCAGGTAAGTTACTGGGATGATCCGGGGTGAAATTTTGGTTGCGGTCACACTTACCTCGGCAGCACTACGGTAATTCCCAACTAACACCCATGATGCCCCTGGACCATCCAGGCAGAGCCCAGGTGACGTTCTGGTTCATGCCGGTGCTTACCTGGTCATTCCTGGATGACGCCGGCAGAGCCCCAGTTGACCAAGGCAGAACCCAGGACTATTTTGGCAGGGCCTTGATTTAAAGAACCCAGTGGCTTGAAAACGTGCAAAAATGATGACGCTGATGCATAATTTTCATTAATATAATTGTAAATGATATTTTCTCCTATTTGATAAGTAATTCATGATGATTTTCTGATTAATTCTTATGCAAGACTGGACAAAAGGGAAATGGGGAAGGGTTTTATTACAAACAAGTGCAATCATTGCAAATTGCTGTAATTCTTTTGAAATGAACCGGGCTGTGCCGGGCTCTACAGGGATCAACAGTAGCTCCATCGTCATCCTCTGGGGCTCTGTCGGCTTTCACAGGGGCTCTGCCAGCATTCACCGGGGCTCTGCTGGCATTCACCGGGGCTCTCCTGTAGCTTTACTGGCTATATCATACCCAAGATCATCTCAAGTTTGTGTCAGCAGAGCTACAGTGCTTCCCTGGCGTAACCCGGTCGTTCCCGGCAGGGCTAAGGATGAAGCCGGTAAAGCTATACCTTCCCGAGTCATCCAGCTGATATTAAGTATTTTATTCCATCCGGAGTCAAATGCCGAATGTTCCAGATCATCCCGGACATTGCAGTCAGAGTTATGTATCCCGGTTGTTACTGGATCATCCCCGGACGTCTACCAGGGCTCTGCCAGGGTGTGAGACCACAATTTAAAGCTAAAATTTTCTTCAATTATGTCCCTGGATTAATTACAACCAGCTAAAGCATCACTTTCAGTAACATTATCAGATTTCTTACCATCATCTATAGCTCTAACTTTAATATCATCACACAATTTCTCACAGGCACTTTTAACCCTTTAAGATGGTGCATGATCATTACTGGCCATTAAGGCTCCCACATTTACAATTTTTTGTAAACGTTTACACGACTGCTAAGAACTGAAACGATACCGTTTAAACGGTGGTACCTCTATGTACTATACACACCGTGTACTTGAGTCGCCAAATGATGTCTTTCTTTCTATTTTTAATACATGTACAAATAAAGAATGTGCAAGGCTCATCACAATTGAGTCAGCACACATTTTTTGCATTGAAACCCCATTTTTTACCAAAAATGTATTATGTCACGAGCAATTTTGCACGGTAATGCTGTGTGGAGGGTTGTAAACACCCATTTTATGTTTGTTTACTTTGGAATAAACCACTAGAATTGATAAAATCCATGATTACATGCAATGATTAAGAAATTTTGTAAGACAATATGGTCATTTCGATTAAACGGTAAACGAAATCGTAAACGTTTATGAATGAAAATCGGAACGAATCCGTTTAAACGTGTAATCGTGGGGGCCTTACTGGCCATGTACACTTAGAACTGTTTCCCTTTTGAAAAATCGATAATTTCATGAGTGAAGTTAACTGCGAAACTGTTCTAAGTACTTAAGTTTTCTTCCAAAATCAAGACATCTGCTCTGAAACTAATGAATTTCTTATGTGATATTATTTAATAATGTACAATAAAAGGTTAAGCTTTCAAAATTGCTTTGATTTTAATTATTTTAACTGCCATTTGCAGTTAGAACCTTTTCGCTTTTTAAAAAAAAGGTTGATTAGAACTTAGAACCTTTTGACAAGTTTTCATTTCACCCTTTTATAAGTAAACTAAATCTTATATATTTTGACATAAGATGTATATGGGTGTTTAAGTTACAAATATATAAAAAAGTGAATTTTGTTAAAAAAAAGTGAGTTAGAACCTTTTCGCTTTCACCCCTCGAAATTTATTATTGCAATTATTGCATAATTATGATACATCAGTTTTAAACGCTGTGAAGTAAATAAATATTTTCAGGTGTTATTTATTAACATTACATTCTTTACTGCCTCAAAGGTGATGTCTTTATTTAATAAAATAAGAATACTCATTACTGCCAAGTTGAAAAATTATTTGTTGAAAAACAATGTAATAAAATGTGTGTTTCTTTAAATTTCAGATAACATACTTCAAACTATGGACATGTTATAGATGCATATATTATTATTAACACATGGATGGAATCACAGTGCCAATCACCAACTTTACATTGTGTTGTGAACATTTTCATTAACCTGATGAATTTCTTAAACTTTTTCATATGATTTTTTCAATAAACCAGTTTTCATTTTCTTAATTGTACATGATGATGTCAGTGTCATTTCATAATTATTTTACAAAGCTGGATCAACAAGATGTAACATTTAGTTGCAATGCATGAGGGAAAACTTTAAAAAAAAAAAAAAAGAATAATAATCAACAAGAACATCGAGTCACATATTGTAGAAATTGCACTTATTTTAAGCTGAATAGAATCGGCAATCCCTATGAGTTTATAAAAGTCACGACCGGTACCACTAAAATACGGAACCAAGCTTTTTTGGCAAAACGGAGTGCAAAATAAAAAAAATGTGGCAAAAACTACGATGAGCAATGCATTCTTATCTTATTAGAATAACATTAGGTATTTTCAATATTTTCTACATTAAAAGCATTGTATTGTTGTAATATCGCTAATATCACTGTTGCTCAAAAATTCATCAGTGCAACATGGATTTATTATTTTCAAAACTAGCAAACAAAGTACATTTTATTGAATTTGCAATAGTATATTCTAAACAAAGTCATATTATGTTGAAATTACAGAAGTCTTATGTTGAAATTAAAGAATCAACTTTAAGCAATTTTTTTATTATAAACATTCATTATATTGTTGTTATATACTTTCATAAACTCTGTTGCGCCGATGGATTATTGTGAAACGGGTATTTTATTTTCAAAACCATGTACTGTTTTTTATCTCTAAAACATAAAATAATTATAAAAGTTGGTATTGTTGACATTTTATACAGTCATATATTGTACAGCTTTGATTTTATAAAGTTGAAAACAGAATATATCAGATTCCAAATGGACAGCAAAATGGACATAATTTCAGCGCAACGGAAAATAAAGATTTGCGTAACTGATACAACTTATGTTTAAACTTAACTTCAGAATTTGAGAATAATAAGTAACAGTCTTTTAAAAATGATTTACTTTCTTTTATTTTAAAAAATGTTGAAAATAGGATATTGTAAAGATATTTAAATTACGGTGAAATAGACAAATTTCAGCGCAACAGTTACTGGGATTATTAGTTTTATAATATTTTATTATATGATCTAAAAATAGCTGCAATCTCATTGGTCCAAACTGTAGTCAACAGAATTTTTTATAAAATCATATTCACTGGAGGTAGTATCATATTAACTGGCTAAATTGGATTTTCCAAGTCTAAAAATAGATTGAGACTCATATTCAATGACCATTCACTGTAGACTGTTAATTACATGTGCTAATTAAAAAATAATTGTTGGGTTTTGTTCTTTATGGCATATTTCTCGATTAAAATATCATTACTTTACTGTTATACTTAAAGACTAAACCACTTTGATGAGTATAAACTTGAATTACTTTTGTATGCGCCTAACACGTGCGTCTTTTTTCCCGCGCTTCAACGAGGCAAAATTTGTACATGTATATAAGGTTGTACTTTTTCGTGATTTTTTTTTTAATTCTGAGCCTATTCATATAATAAAACAATTATTGACTAGTGAGCCATTGAATATGATGTGATATTCACCGGCAGAAAGTCATATTGACCTAGGCTATCGCCTCGGTCAATATGAATTTCTGCCGGTGAATATCACATCATATTCAATGGCGTACTAGTCAATAATTGTATAATATTAGTCAGAAACTAGGTCCGGTTTGCAGAAGTCACTTAATAGTTTATTGGCCTATTGTAACCGTTGGAATTTGATGGTAAATGTTGGAAAGACAAAAAAGGTGGTAGACTAATATGGATAAGTGGTTTTATAATAATCAAGAAATCAAGGTAGTAAAGTCATTTAACTACATGTACTTAGGTGTGATATTCATGAGTGTGTGGGGGGGGGGTCATTCAGGCAAGCTACAAAGACGTTAGCTTGAAAAGGGCTCTGATCATTATATTCATTGTTATAATTGTTACACGACTACAAAGTACCAGTAAACATAAAGTTTAATCTCTTTGACGCCTATGTTTTATCAATTTTAAATTATGGCTGTGAAGTATGGGGGTTTATGAATGCAGAAGTTTTAAAACGAGTACATAAAAATTTTGTAGGTTTATTTTAAATGTTTAACAAATACTTTGGCATTAAATGTAGAATTGGTGAGATTTCCTCTTTATATTTAAGAAATAACATCGGCCTGAGAGGTGTATATCGGCTATTTAACACCGGTTTGGAGTTTTGATGCGTAGGAATTTACCACGAAGGCCGTAGGCCTGAGTGGTTAATTTTGTCGCATCAAAACGACAAAACCGGTGTTAAATAGCCGATATACACCTCTGACAGGCCGATGTTATTTCGATTCTAACATGATAAAATAAGGAAAATCACTAATGTTATTCTTCAAGCGGAAATAACTTCCGGTGCAGATTTTTGTATATAACGCTGTTATTCTCGCACCCTACTGTTGCAATGATGTAGAAATTATCAAACAAAAGAAATAATAAGAAAAATACGTTATTTTATCAAGTTTTCAACAATAAAAACTTACGTCTTATTGTTTTTACATCAGTGCCCCATTTATCATTCTTGTACGTATGAAATAACGTCAGCTTGTTTATGATTGAGTTGTTTACTTAGGATGACGTCATTACGCTACTTACGGATTGGCGCCGTTTTGTCAAAATATTTATTAACTAATATGGATCTAATATGTGGCGTTAGTGTACGTGAGATATTATTTCGGTATTGCATGAAAAGAAAACATTATACGAACTGAAAATATAAATAAAAATGCTTTTTATTGTTGCTTTAAAATGCTTTGTAAACAATACAATCGAGGGTGAAAACATAACAGCGCATATACAAGTAGTCCCTAACCGGTGTTTATTGGCAGTTTAACACCAGTTTTTTTCCTTCTTTGTCTATATTGACAAAATCACGTGAGTGTTAGAATGAAAGGCATATTCGTATGATAATGATAAAATACTTTCTTAAGTTAAATACAGGTAAAAAAGATAATTGTATATTCAGAACAATATTGTGTAGACAGATATATGATGTTGATGTGGTAAATTGTTCAACAAACTGGGCTTCAAAAGTTAAAAACATTCTTCAGTCAGCAGGATTTAATGAAGTCTGGTTATATCCCGATTCTGTTAATATAAAACTATTTGTACCTATTTTTAGGAATAGATTACGGGATATTTATATAAGTTCTTGGAATGATGGTATTCAATCTTCATCATTGTTAGATGTATATAGGGAATATAAGATCACATTTGAACAATCCTTATATATAAAAGATATTGAAAATGTAAAATATAGAAATGTTTTAGCAAAAATTAGACTCTCCTCACACAAACTTAATATCGAGTAAGGAAGACATAATAATGTACCAAGGAATGAACGAAAGTGCACTTTATGTTATATGAATGATATAGAAGATGAATAATTATTTCACTTTATCCTTAAATGTCCAATATATTCTGAGTTATGAAAGCAATACATTCCAAGATACTATTATTGCAACACAAGTATGTTTAAGTTCATTTCATTAATGCAAACTGGTCGCAAGAAAGAACTGAAAAATTTAGCTATATTCTGTGATAAAGCTTTTAAATTGAGGGATAGTTTGTTATAATATACTGACATGTAAGCTTTACTCTCTTTCTCGTTTTTTTTCTGTTGTTTAAAATTTTTTTTAAAAGTATCATTGTAACTGTTAAATGTTGTTTATTCATCATGAAGATTTGTTAAGTTATATGTGAACATGAAATTGTACATATATACATATATATTTTTTATTTATTTATTTATATTTGTAATATCTTAAATTAAATACAGCTCGAATTCGCTTTTCCTTTCATTATCTGTTTACATCAATATTGACAAATAGGGGTGT